GCAAGAGCATCGAAATTCAAAATCTCCTTTTTTTTCTGAAAATTTTTGTACGAAAGTCGTAATAGTAGCCCCTTCGTAATACAAGCCCCCCCTAAAAATTTTGAACACTCGGACAGTTTAGAAGCCCGGAGGCTTCTATTATGGGGGGGGTTTATTATCAGTCGGTCGATATTGCTGGTATTTTGCGGTATGATACCATTTTTCGAAAAACATCGTGTAAATTTAGTTCATCTGTGGCATATTTCTTCCACTAGAATTTCATTCCAATTACTTAAACTTTGTCGGCTTATATAAACTTCTTGATTTAAAAAATTGAATTGGATCACTGTTTTCGTGGAAAAAGCCGTGTGAATAATCAGCTATACATAATAAAAGTGAAAAGATTAATATATCCCTTTGGTAACATAAAATAAAGTTCACAGTAAAGAAAAACAAGGAAAAAGTATTTGTATTTAGGCAAAACATGATCAAGACAAACCGGTACTGACCGATCACCGGTATACCGGCGCCGATCCGGTATGGGTACGAAGTTTGTATACCGGTGATCCGTACCGGCATCGCATTTTTGATACCGGTTACACCCCTAAGTGGCACCCAGTAACTATTGATAGCCCTGGACACGGATGAACTATGGGTAATCAACGATGCTGAGTCTCCTGGCAATATTTATTTTTAGAAAAATTTTAAAAATCTGTCGAAAAGCTAGTTTTACGAAAATTGTTCCACGAAAATTAGAGTTTCCAGGCTGTTTTCGCCTAATGTTAAAATATTCACTGTCCACTCAGAAAATGTCAGAACGACTTCAGAACCTCAGGATATTATTAATGTTGTCCGATAAACGTGATTATCTGATCAAAAAAATCGAAAAGCATTTTCTGTTAATAGGTTTTCGGAAAACCTCAGAATTTTGGTAAAATTTCTTTCGAGATCTCCTATAAATAGGATATAGCACAGCCTAAATAGTTCATCTATCTTCAAGGCTACCAATAGTTACCGGATGCCAGTCTTGGGACTCGAAGGAAATCCGATACAGCTCCCGAACCGCGAAGAATGATGGTCTCGCTTGACTCCTATATTGAAGAAGACACCCCGCGCTATCAGTGCACAAAAAAAATCAATAGTCCTGTTGGGAGATTCCTACACATGGCCTAGTTTCCCAAAGATCTCTCAAAAATCTGTTTTAAAAAACCTCTTCTGTAAAGTTTTTGGTTAAGAAAACGTCTCCCAGTCTCTTCTTTTGAATGGTGAAAACCCGAGCCCTCTAGCTTTTTTCTATCAGAAGTTATTTAAAAAGCAGTCATATACCATTCTTTTTCTGGATGAACAATAGTGCATTCTGTACTATTGTTTCCAAAATCTCCGAGAATCTGAGTTTGAAGACGTCGCCGTTATTCGAGAACCATAAGACGGCTTCAAAAAATAAACGGTTTTTTATAAGCTCTGTTTTCAACGTAGACGACTGGATATATTAATTTTGACCGTTCAATATAGTTCTAATACATGTATATGATATTCCATTTGTCTCTCTCTTTCTCTTATACAGCCAAAAATATTATTTCCTTTCAATTTATTAGCAAACGAACTGAAAGAAGTCGATATACATTCTTTGATTAGAAGTCGTCTATATATATATGTTTCTCCAGCTTGTTTTTATATCTTACAGAAGGAACGGAAAACAGCAAACATTTGTCTATTTTAATCCACTGATTGGACAAAAAGTTTTGGACAAAATTTTTCATTCTAAAAAGTGATCTTAAATTATTCAGACGGCAATAACAACCACAATGTATAGAACTTTTAGAACGGCGACTATGTCTCACTATAGGTCTGTTCCTCGCCTTCATTTTTTTTCTTTTCTGTTACAAGACATCAGTCTAATTATAACTGAACATTTCTTTTTTGTGTGTTCTACCTACTCGTTTCCTCATTCCACCCATCCATGCGAGAGACAGCAAAAAGATGTCTAATCCAAAGTCCAAGTTTGAATCATTGTCTAATGAAATTTTAATGATTGTTTTTGAACATATTGAAGTTGGAAATCTATTTTATAGTTTTTATAATTTAAATCAAAGATTAAATTATCTATTACTCGATCATCCTCTACATTTTTACTGCACGATTCGTAGTGACAGTAATAGAAACAATGGACATTTCTTTCGTCGACTATATAAAGATATTATTCTGCCTAAGATTTCTAATCATATACAATCATTAACATTAATTCAATGTGATGATGATGATGATGATATGTTAAAAACCTACTACGATGATTTATTTCATTTTAAAAATGAAGATAAAAAATTTGTATCTTTACGATTATTAACATTGGATAATTTAGCTTTAAAAGACATGGAACGTATCCTTAATCAATGTAGTGGTCTACCAAATATAAAATGTTTAATTATTTTTAATGCAGGTCAGTTTATAAGAGTAACGAAACTCGTATTAATAGATATTGCTTCGTCGAGGATCAGACAAGTGTTATACTGAAAGTGTCTCATTTCGAGTTGAAATTTTTGTCATAATCACCAGATACCCAAATTAGTTTTAAATTCTTAATAAGAGTTTAATATTGTGCTGTTGATGCGTTATAACTACCTACTGATATACAAAAGAGTGTTGGGAAAGCAGCAAGATCTACGAAAAGAGGTAGGTCTCTTCGTCAACTGCTCCAACACTCTTGTATATCGTGAGTGGTAGGTATCACATGGATTAACTTAGATGTTACAGGTAAGGTCGCTAGAAGGCATGTTTCAGAAAAAATGCATTTTTCCTCAGTTGGGAGACCCATAGATTCTCTACATGCTAAACCATCTGTATTTAAAATATTCGGCTCTGCTTTGTCATAGCTTTTGATGACGACACATAAACTAATGATAGTCCAATTTGTTCTATTTGCTAACAACAAACTGGAAACATGCATTTTTTTTACTCTAAATCAGTTTTCAACGCTGAAATATGAAAATATGATTTTTGGAAAGAGTACATACGAAAACCTATAAAAACAAAATTTAGAGGCTTTCGTATCACTTTTATGGCATATGTCCACGTACCTAGTCCAAATTGCCCACTGTGTGTCATTTTCTCGGCAATGAAAACTGTGCCGACCTTTCTGTCGAAAAGTATACGTTTTGCAAAAGCTGTGTTTCTGCACAAGAAAGTCATAGAAACATGAGAGTGGTTTCTCTTCTGTCTTCTCATTCATTCAGAAATTGCTTAGCGAAATCTTTGGTTTTCTAGTGGTTTTTCACAATTAAAATGCTTTTGGTGTTTGACTGACAGACACATTTCGTGAAAACTTTGATCATATTTTCAGATTTAGCATTTTAAAGTAAATTCTAGAATTTCATGTCTCCAGCTTGTTGGCGCAAGAAGAAATTAGAGGATCATTTAAAGCATATTGATTCTAGTCAAAGCTAAACCGATATAATGTTAAGGTAAAATATTTCAGATACACATATTGAATGTACTTGACTATAGGTACCTGAGTGCTCGCATTTAGGTGCCTATGCGGGTACTCTGCTACATGAATGTCATAGGTGCTTGAAGATTTTTTAAGGAAGTATTACTTGAGAGGTGCCCAATTACTTGCGCTGAAAGCAGCGTAGGTTCTCAGTTTTTTTCCGCTTACTGTTTTGTTTCGCGTTCACATATATATAAAAGAAAAACATATGTTTACAAGAATGACATGTGTTTTATCTTCACACGATCACTTAAAATGGCTGACCGTTTAGGTGCCCGCTAAGTAATATTTTACGTGCAAGCACCTATGACATTCTTGTAGCAGGAAACCTCACGCAAGGTACCTACGTTCAAGTACATTCACTAAGGTATCATAAAAGTTTCAGGCTCTTACCTATTGTCATTTGTGAGAACATAAATTTTTCCTGAAAAATTCATTAGCGATTGCTGTTGGAACACTCGTAACTTCTGAACGGATCAATATCAAAATCTTCCACAAACTTGTTAGTCTTCATTTCTACTACCAATGGTAAAAATTTCAGTTCGATCAGAGCTATCTGGTCTGACATTGAGTGATTTTCTCAGCGAGACAGACAATAGACGTTAAAATTTTATCAAGTCTTTCGATTTTTGTGAGAATTGTTACTATTTCGCTTTGTTTTTACTTGTGTCTGCATTTAGATTCAAAAGAGAACATTAAAATAAGTTCCATTATGAAAATAAATTCACTTTGTTCATTTGAATTGAGCGTAAAGAAAGAAAAATATTCCATCTTAAAGCCACCATATTCATTTAATATGAATGATATGACTACGATGACAACAACATTATTAAATTCGATAAAATATTTAACATTACACAATTGTTTTGCATTAGAAAATTTATTCCTGTTATGTGAACATTTACCACACCTCAAATTTTTAACTTTAAATGAACTTAATCTTTGGTATAAAATGAACAATATTTTTTCACCATATCCGTTAAAATGTAAAGTAAAATTTCATTTAAGAATTGGTTATAATACAAATTTTAATCATATTGAAATACTTTTAAGTAATATGCCAAATTTATATTCGTTAAATATTGAAGGTGGTATTGAATTCGATTTGACATTATCAGATGGCAACAGCAGCAGTTTTCTCAATAGTAAACGATGGGAACATTTATTAATCAAATTAACGAATTTAAAACAGCTTTTTATTGATTTAAGAACGGGATTTAATGATGATAAAAAAAGTATCCTAGGACATGTAAAAGATATTTTAATACCATCGTTTCATAAAAATGATTTTTTATTTAAAAAATGTAATTTTTTTCTTAAAGTCTATCCACAACATAATGATAAAAATTTTTATCATTTACGTATAGTAGTTTGTAATGATACACTGTAAACAATAAAGTGTGCTCGCTAGTGTGCATTCCTTCAAGTGTACATTTCGAGTCCAAAGTAATGTGCAAATTGTCACTGTGTAATCTGAATTTTTATCTTGTGTTTCTCTATGGAGAATAACAGAAAAATTATTCTCCTCTTCGGTCTTTTTTTCTCGTTCTGGCTGTGGAAGTTATATGTGCAATTCCAGTGTGTTACAGCCACACTGAACAAGCCGTTTTCAGTACGCAAAAAAATTCAACGTGATATGTACATTCAATGTGCCCCGGGCATACTTTATTTGTTACAGTGTAGACATTGTTGTAATCAACGTTTCTTTGAATAAATAAACAAACGTTTTTTCGTCGAACGGAGTTAGACATATACCTTATTCTTTAGATCTTACCAGAAGTTGACTCGAAAACCGTAAGTCTCTCGCTTGATTAGAAAAAAAGTTCCACTTAATATAGTTGAACATATGCGATTATGAATATACTTAAAAAGCACAGTTAATTTGCTTATTGTCCCTATTCGCGCTTCTAAGGCGAAAGACGAAATAAAGACGTATTTTCTATCGTTTTCAAATAAAAAAGTCCAGTGGCTCAAGACTTGATCTTATATGGAGAAGTCCTTTCTGTTCAAAAACTGATCAAACTGTTGCTATTTCAAATTGTGATAGGACGGCTGAAGCTGTACAATTCCTCTGACTTTCGCATTGTCACATCATTTCTTCGACATGAAAGAGAAAAATTGCAACGGTAAAAATATATGATTTTTGTGACTTTGAGCTTTCTCACAAGCTTCTTAGGTAGAAGAAGAGTGTTTGGAGCAGCGTTTCATTCTATTTTGAAATGATGGTGCATTTCTGACTGAAAGATCAAAGTCGAAAAAACTGTGCAGAAGCCTAGTAGACTGGTGTATTTAAGCAATTCGGTCACTCTTGCCATCTGCACATAAAATTTAATTTTTCTGATCGAAGCACAGTTTTGTTTTCTTTGTTTATACACTGCATGGACTGGAGTTATTCACTTCTACTTTTCTTCCTTCCACTTGACCACATGACATAAGAATTACATACATTCATTTTTTCTCTCTTCTTTGTTCATTTCGTCACTATTATAGTCTTCTATCAGCCAGATTTCGTTCAGTCGTCGAATAGGCTAATCTCTAACAGATATTCGCAATCGATTCAAAAATTCTCTATCGGCAGTCGATAGAGACTAAAAGTAGAAGTAAGTTTTGTCTCAAGCACCATTTAATTCAGCAATTTTCGACGCTGATTTCAAATCTGTGATTTTTTATTCTTAAAGCGTTGAAGGAAGCTATTTCACAACTTTCTCCTGTTTTCTTTTTTAAGATCAAGATAGATACTAAAGTTTTTCTTTAATTATTATTTTGACGAATAATGGAAGTAACACCTACAAGATGTCAAGTCTTCGGGTGTACACGTGCCCCATTGGCAGTTTGTCTTCATTGCAACAATTATTTATGCAAACCACATTTCAATGAACACGAAACAACAGCAATACCATCGACAACGTCATCATTAAACACAGTTATTGAATTAGGTACATTACTGGAATGTGTTAATAAATTACATGGTAAAGTTGAAAATAATTTAACATGTAATGGTTTAATAGATGAAAAATTAGATGAACTTAATCAATGGCGAACTAAATCAAATAAAGTATTTGAAAAATTTTGTGATGAAAAACGACACGAAATTACAAGTTTGTTTCAAAATGAATTCAGTGAAGGCAAACGGAAGGGTAAGTCATAACAAGTTTAGCTGTTTAGTTTCTGCTGGTTAAAACCCATTCAACTTTCTTTTTGTTTGCGTTAACATAAAAGATCAGAGACGGATTTTTTGTTTTGGTTCACAGCTATTGAGTTATCTATAAAGTATAGAGATTCATTTTTAAGGAACACGAACACTTTAGCCTACAAAACTATTGTCTCTAACTGAACATTTTAAAATTTCAAACATTCATTTATCAATCAAAAAACTTTATCAAATTTTGTCGTTTTCTTATTTATTTTATTCTTTGGATTGCTTTTAACGGTTGGCATTTTTCTTTTATTGCAGAAGGAGAAAAAATGGCACATTTCTGTACTGCTGTACTTATATGATAGAAAATCTCTAAAAGCAAATGACTGATTATCAATGTATTTCAAAAGCTGAAGAGGAAAATGTGTCTGTCTTTCGTTAAAAAACTAAAGATTTTAGAATGTGAGAATGTATGAAAAGAACTTATAGTGTCTTTTTAACGTTAAGAATAGATCATTCACATTAGCTTACGAAAGAACCTTTTCAGGTACACAGTCTACTTTCAATAATTTATATTTGTAAGCCGATGGATAAAATAGTAAAAGCTCTAAAACAGAGATGGGCAAGTCAGAGGTTTTCCAAGTCATAAGTCAAGTCATTACAAAAAATTCAGGTCCAGTCAAGTCGTTAGTCATATTTTTTTCTTGTCAAGTCTCAGCAGAACTGGAACAGGCATCCTCACCGGTCAACTGACCGGTCTGGTTGAACTATTTTAACTGAAAAATTGGAGGAATTCTTCTGTTTTGTATCCTTGAGCAAATACGAAAATGTGACTTTTTTTCACAAAAAAAGAATGTCTTTTTATCTTTTGAAGCGTAAAAATGCGTCGACTCATGACGAAAAGCCGCTTTTTGCCGGCTTCTAGTAAGGGGAAACAGAGTTTTAAGGCCGCGACGGCCAGAAAAACGTCGACGTTTTCTGCTTTTTTTATCATTTTTGTTTCTTTTTTTAAGTGTTTTTTGCGATATTCGAGTGTCTGTATTTGTGGAAAGCATCTCATGTCTGTTATACGTTCAATAGTTTTGGTAGAGCATTAACGATTTTAAGAGAGGATTCATGATGGAGAAAAGGGTATAGCATGGCCAAAATAAAGGATATTCGCTAAGGATAGCAGTCAGTCAGTGCAAAAGACTTTTAAAATTTTTTGCTAGCTCACTGTAATTCTTTCGATCAAAGTATCAATCAATGAAAATCATCGATAGCCACCTGAAGAGAAGTGATTCGGTCGTTAGAGTCGTTGCTAAAATACTCATACACGATCATCTAATTTTTTCATAATTTCTATCAAAAAAAGAAGTTGTTCGACTTACACAAGTAATTCTATTGGTTTTTTGCTTTTATATTAGGCTGGATAAAAAGTATTGATAGTTTGAAACAACAAGTTAGTGAATTAATACAAAATAATACAACAGCAAATAAAGAAGATGTAGAACGCGTTAAAATGAAAATTGAGCATTTTATTCAAAATGAAATGAATTTCATTCATATAAAGCAAAAATATTTAGATTTATCAGATTATTTTACAATTGTTACAACAATAAATATAATGAAGTTAATCAACGCATTTAAAACTGCAACTGAATGGAATTTGTGGACATGTAAGTTAACAGATGATGATGTAAAAGTAGTTGCGCAAGAGTTAAAAATTAATGAAAATTGTCAAGCATTACATTTAAGTCATAATAAAATCAGTGATATTGGTGTACAATATTTAAGTGAAATGTTAAAATTAAATAAAAAATTGATAAAACTATGGATCGGAACAAATCAAGTTAGCGATCAAGGACTTACAATTCTATGTGATGCACTGAAATATAATGATAAATTGACAACATTATACGTACATGAAAACAAAATTACAGATGATAGTGTCAGTATAATATTAGATATGTTACAAGTGAATCATTCATTAAACTGGTTAGATGTTACTGATAATCTAATATCAAAAAATGGTAAACAACGTTTAAGTGATGGAATAGCTAAAATACGAAAAATTCATATAGATGTATAACTCGTTTGTAATATCCAAAATGTTTAACCATCATCATCGTTTTTTTTATCAAAACGTTTAATTTCATTTCCATGTGTCTTCTGTTGTAACATCACTTTTTTACTTTTTAAAAAATGTATATTTTGGAAATAAAAGTGACTAGGACTTAGGACTAGGATTTAGGAACGTGATAAAACTATTTTGACTAAAGTTTTCTAAAATAGAGGAGAGTTCGCTAATACATCATAATAAATGCTTCCACTATCAGTACAAAGTGGAGAAAAAAAGAACGTGTTTTAACTTTAAGTTTGCTAGAAAAAAACCGCTCACGAGCAAATCCCAATTTTCATTGACTAACTAAAACACACTTCCTTGCCCGAGAAAAGTTAAGTGATGAAAATTCATTGAGTGAAAAAAATTCTCTCTTTTTTCTTTTTATTCCAGTTAGACGCAATTGGTACAAAATTTGTTTCAGCAACTGCTAGTTCCTCCTCCAACAGTATGTTAACATAAATGTTATTATCCGAGGATTATAGTGCTTATTTTTTATAAATTCCGTCAAGGACCTTTGCTTAGAGAGAGAGTTTAGATTTTTTATAAGTGCAGCATCCTAATAGCGTGTTTTTGAAGTTAAAAGTGATTGTGAGTTCACGCTTCCTTCTGATATCTGTATTGTGGTCCGTTGTTAATGCAAAATCAAGCAGCAGTGAGACAGATACGTATTTTTTTAAGCGTGTTGGTTTTGTCATTTGAGTGAACTCCACACAAAAAAATGTCTCTTTCTCTGCTTTTCAAGATTTATTATTTGCTGATTATACAATTAGAAAGTATCATTGTAATGCTGTTAAATTTATCAATATAGGGTAGTTTTAAAATGTCTACGGCTTCGTGATACCGCTGACCATCATCGTGGATTAACACAAAAATCATTTAATACATATATCGAAAAAGAATTTATCAGATAAACAACGTTGGTACTATAATTTATGGTCAATGGAAAGATTATATATGTACCGAACTGAATTGCTATACTGAAACATTGGAAAAGATGCACGTTGTAGCAATTGTTCTAAGAGAGGCACAATAGAAGCAATTTGGGAATAGATTTTCTATTTTACGTTAAGTTTTATATTGGAGGTTTCGTTTTAACTCTTGCTTTTTTTGCATGGTTATCATGTTTTAACACTAATATAGAATATTAATAAAAAGCTGCTATTCTGCGGAAGAGCTGTATTTTGGTAGAAAGCAAAAGACTTAATCACGCATACACTAAAGTTTATGACAGAAAACGAATTAGACAGATTCTGTCTTTCTAGTTTGTAGTGGTGACAAGGAGAAAATCCTAGAAGCTACTCTGCACCATTAGATGTATCGCATGTATGATTTCACGAATCGTCTTATTTTCTTTTTTGAACAGATTAAATTTGTTTCTGATTAAAAACATTTTATTCACTAAGCAAAACAACAAATGTTAATCTTCTGTTCACAAAGCGAGGCTCTTTTACTTTTCACCTGTGTTAGATGTAGAAGTACGTTCTAGCACATAGGTAAGTTGAACCTATTGTATGCGATGTGCCATATAACGCGACTATTAACACAATGATCCTCGCGACTATTAACTCAAATGACTCAATGACGATGATGTCAAGGAAATAGATAATGATTCTGTTTCAACGCTAATGATAACCAATCACTAGCGGCTAGATCAAACACTTCACTTTTACGTCTAGGGTGAAAGATTGTCCACCATTTGCGTCAGAAATTAAATAGCTGTAGATAAATGAGCAATACTTTACGAGCAGTCAGTGGATGAAAAGAATAGTCTTGTTTTGAGACGAATGCTGACCAAAGCACGTGTCTCTATAACACTCGTTTCTCGATTTTCGCAAAGAAATATCGACAGTGTATAGGAAATGTGCACAAACAAGAACGCGCTCAATTGTATTCGATTAAAAACGCACAATTTAGAAACAAAAATACGCAAATCAGTGTTTTTGTAGATTTTTGTTGTTTCAAGCGCTTTCACTCTATTTTCTGTTTTACTGGAACTTATCCCAGTAATAGATTTGCGAAATTTTCTTTGTTTCTGCAAGCACGTGTAGGTGGTTTCAAATCTTGCTAAATAACTTGAAGTATCACTGTCAATCCCCTCAGCACCACGAAAAACCGTGTTCAACGGATTTGTCGTCGTTGCGCTTTTTGTTTTGAAAAACTTACATTCTGTATGTTTCATTTACGGATTTATTTTCATTTATTCGCAGAAGGAGCTTTTTTCTTCTAAATAGCGTCTCCTTATGCACGACTGGCTTTCGGAGCCGTTCTTTTTGCTCGTGAAGCCGCTGTTTTATGCTGGTAGATGCGCTGTTATATCAGGAGCCACTTACTCTTTTTGTGTCGAAAAAACTGCGTGCAACATTTTTTCGGCAACGGAATAAGCGAACTGCAAATTTTTTTTTAAAAGTTCACTGTCAATCTCTAAGACCATACGTTTCACTAAAAAAAACTTAAGAGTGAGTTTTTGAGAAAGTGGTATAAGTACGATAATAAGATATTTCAGATTTCGCTGATTTTTACATATGTTATAGTGGGAAGTGAACTGATTGTAACCTGAAAGTTTCAAGTCAAGTTTATATTTCCTGTACGCTGGCTTACTCATGATCGAAAAATCAATGAAAAAAAAAATTGCATCATGATTAAAAAATGTAAAGTAAAGGTTATTTTTTTCAAAGAATAAGTGATTTGGCCAGTTAATATGTGAAATAAATACAAAATCAACATCGTATACTTGAACAGCAAAAAGTTTTTCGTATCTGCTACTAGGGGCTTCAGGGTTATCCCCCATACATCAAAAAATGAAAGTTGTTTACGTATGCACTTTTAACACATCATTCTACGACAAATTCAATGCTGGTTTCAAAAATCATTAAATTTTCCATCCCGAATGTGAACTGGCAACTACGTGGTCTAGTTTATATGGTGTCTTTGAAACATTAGATTAAATTTTTTGTACCTGTTTGCCAACTCTAAAGTTCGATCATATCTCATTTTACTGTTCGAAAACCGTGTTTAGAAAACAAAATGATCGTCATTTGTCCTATACTGAGTCATGTATGTGCTTTTTGAAGATTTGTAAAACAAGATTCTGCATTTTTTTGGAGAACATAATTTTTGTTCTTCTTCAACTTTCGTGATCTCTATACGGAACATTTGCTTTCCAGAGAACACGTTTTTCAAAGACTACCAAAAAACTGAAGAACAAGTTTCTGTTCTCCGAAGAACAAAAAAGGATGAAGATTACATTTTCTGAAGAACACAGTTTTTGTACTTCAACATTTCTGAGCTCTATATGGGACATTTGTTTGTAGAAGAGCTCATTTTTCAGGAACCACCACCTTTTTGAAGAACATAAATTTTGTTCTTCATATTACACTTTTGACCACGTCTTAATTACTTGTATTTAAGAGAAGTCTCAGTAATTAGGACGAGTCACATAATTCTGAAAAAAGTGCATACTATTCCTTCGGAAGCTATAAACTCAAACGCTCCTCCATATCATGCAAAGAGTACAAACATGAAGTCTAAAAATCTTTTACCCGGACTCAGGAAAGCCTTATTTTTTCAATTTCTGTGTGCTCGATGACGAAACTCAACTTCGGCGAATACTGGCAGCCCTAAAAATCTTTAAAAATAAAGATTTTCTCTAAAAATGAGTTGTAATCATCTGAAATGGAAAAGGACAAAATATTCGGTGAACAAGACACCAATAGATTACAGAAAAGAACAGAGCGAAGGCAAAGTCAAAACGTATATATACAGAAAAGGCTCACTCAACTTTCTAGAAGCATCGAATCTAGATTTTACAATAAAATGGACATAATAGCACACAATTTTGAAATCAAAAAACTACAGCAACCGACCTGAAGAGAAAGAGCTACAAACAGTCTGCCTAAACCCGA